GCCGGGCGGCTGCGACGGGGCCGGGCGGCTGCGACGGGGCCGGGCGGCAGGGACGAGGCCGGGCCGGACACAGCAGGGCCGGGCAGGGGCGACGGGGCCGGGCGGCTGCAACGTGGCCGGGCGGCTGCGACGTGGCCGGGCGGCTGCGACGTGGCCGGGCGGCTGCGACGTGGCCGGGCGGCTGTGACGTGGCCGGGCGGCTGCGACGGGGCCGGGCGGCTGCGACGGGGCCGGGCGGCGGCGACGGGGCCGGGCGGCAGGGACGGGGCCCGGGCAGGCCACAGCAGGGCCGGGCAGGGGCGACGGGGCCGGGCGGGCGAGCAGGGGCCGGGCAGGTGCGACAGGGGCCGGGCAGCCGCGACAGGGGCCGGGCGGGCGCCACGCGGCCGATAGGCCGCGACGGGGCCGAGCAGGGGCGACGGGGCCGAGCAGGGGCGACGGGGCCGAGCAGGGGCGACGGGGCCGAGCAGGGGCGACGGGGCCGAGCAGGGGCGACGGGGATGGGTAGGGGCGCGACGGGGCCTGGAGGGGCGTTACCAAGCCCAGGTAGGGGCGCGACGGGGCCTGGGGGGAGCGCAATGGGGCCCAGGAGGGGCGCTACGGGGCCTGGGAGGAGCGCGACTGGGCTAGGGAGGGGCGCGACGGGGCCTGGGAGGAGCGCAATGGGGCCCAGGAGGGGCGCTACGGGGCCTGGGAGGAGCGCGACGGGGCCCTGGAGGGGCGCTACCAGGCCCTGGAAGGGGCGCGACGGGGCCTGGAGGGGCGCTACGAAGCCCTGAAAGGGGCGCGACGGGGCCTGGAGGGGAGCGCAATGGGGCCCAGGAGGGGCGCTACGAGGCCTGGGAGGAGCGCGACGGGGCCCAGAAAGGGGCGCAACGGGGCCCAGGAAGGGGCGCGACGGGGCTAGGGAGGGTCGCGACGGGGCTAGGGAGGGTCGCGACGGGGCTAGGAGCACGACGGGGCCCAGCTAGGGGGCGAGTGGAAGCGTGAGGGGGGGGGGGGGGGGGGGGGGGGGGATCCTACCTACGCGTGATACCATAACGAACAGTGAAATTGATGAATAGAGAGAGAGAGTACACAAACATATACCTAAATGTTGTACTCTCTAGAAGATAACCCTATACAGTCTATACAAGCATGATAACTAAACATGTTTGACACAGTTGTCCATGGCAGAGTCATGACATGAGAGCAGAGTGGAAGTATCTTTCCCCTGAGCATGGCACCCGAGCAGGGCCTACTTTTGGATTTTTACTACTCTGATATTGGGGAGTTGCATTTAGCATTACTCTGAAAATCAGAGTGCATCCTCATAGTTTCACTGATTTGCCAGGGTTTTTTTCCATTTAGAAAAATTTACACTGATAGTGCAGAGGGGAAATTTCCACAACTCTGTGCTGCTGTTATGCACCCCGACAAAGGTTTTGTGATAGACGGATAGACGTACGTTCCATTTCAAATACACATACATACATTAGTCACCATGCTCATCCTCGTCTCCCTCTGAGGCACTCTCACAAGAGCCACTATCCTCCTCTGACTCATCATGCTCCTTGCCCTTGGCAGCATCGCTGCTCCTCTCATAAGCCACCACTTTTGCCTGTCTGCGGTTCTTCTGGCGTCTCCAGATCTCCACGATCTCAGGGTAGTCCATGTCGTACTCCAGGAGGCTAATGGTCATCAGGTCGCCGAGTCTTGCATCACACAGGGTCGTCCTCAGCCAGCTCTTGACGGCGTTCTGCCTGCTGAAACCGCGCTCGCACTCGACGGTGCTCAAGGGCAGAACCGCCATCGCCTGCCAGATCCTCATGAGATTCGGATAGCTTTTGGCCCAGTCCCTCGTCTTCAGCATGTTGGCGAGGCCTTGGCCGAAGTCGTCATCAGCACGGTGCGTCTTCATGATGTGACAGAAAGTCTTTAACTCCAGCTCAGCTGCTCGACCATCCACTCCTGTGGAAGCGCTCGGGCGGGATTTGAGATTGAGATATGGAAAGCGAAAACATCGATTAAGAACTATGGTGGTATTGCCACCATTATTTAAAACATGGATACTTGGATCTGCATATAGCGAGACGACATTGTGAGTGCTAGGGATACGTGCATGGAGGGACCGAAAACATACATACCAGGAAGCTTGTTGTCAAACAGCTCCAGGTTCGACTTGACCCAAGTGCGCGCTCTTCGTTCCCGCACGTCCTGCTTCTTCGGCCATGTGTCCACCTTGTACAGCTTCGACCCGGCCATCCGCTTCAGGTCCCACATCCTCTGGTTCAGGTTCTGCACGGTGTCTTCAGCAAAGGCGGTGCACAGCGTGATGCAGGCCGCCTTGGTGCCACCGTACTTGTGACCGGGCAGGGAGCTCTCCACGAGCTTGAAACTGTGCGAAACCGGGTGCCCGTCGTCATCCGCGCCGTGCACCACCACCTTTCCTCCATTCTCGTCATAGCTCTGCAGAAACTTGCTGAGCCGCTTGCTCAGCCCCGCGCCGAAGGTCTCGCCATACTCCACGTAGCGATGCTTGATGTACGTGACGGTGCGGTCGACCTCCTGCGAGACAAGGGTGATGTCGACCTGATGTGAGGGGGGGGTAATAAAAGCAGTGACAAGATGCGAAGAAGATAAGTTATTGTCGAAATTGAAGAAAGTCCACAATCCAACACATGACAACAGGCAACCGACGGCATGAAACACAGAGACCAACGGGATATGGGACAAAAACATACCGACCGCTTCTGGAAAAACCTGTTGAGCGTGTTAAGCTCAGCGAGGATGTCAGCCAGAAAGTATAAACAGAAGTGGAACTTCAGCGTTTTGACCACTGGAACCAGCTTGTGGTTGTACTCAATGAGCACAGCGATTACAGCGCCGAGGACCCTGCAGAGTCGATTTACGGCATCTCCACGAGAAAGCCACCGGATGTTGAAGAGCCCTTGGTGCTCGAGGTTCGTGTTGTGGATGATCAGCTGGAGCTCCTTGAACCTCTCGTACCACGGTGTTGAACGCCCAACAATCTCGCCGAAGCCACGGATGACACTGTCGATGATCCAGAGGTCGGGGAAGGCGCTGGCCGCATCCTTCACTGCAAGGGCCTCACTGCGAGATACGAAGAATCATGCAAGGTCGAGCAAGTAGCATGGATAACAAATAGTCCGACATGCATTGCCTGCGAGGAAACGGACTCAATCCGTCGGAGCTGCAAGGGGGAAGACAAGTGTGGCTCAACCTGCATGAGCTCACCGATGTGCAATACAGTGACAGCCAACGAGATGCAGAATGCGCACCCGAAGACGCGCTACCAGACCGTTGTGCTCTCCTGTCATGACAGACGCCCCATCCGTGCTGATGCCCGCCACCTTGTGAAGTTCGATGCCGCAAGAGTCTAGGTGCCCGAGTAATGCCGTCTGAAGAGCTGCTGCGTCGCACTTGTCGAGAGAAAGCAGCGTCAGGAACTCTGTGACGACTCGCCGCTTCTTCAGGAACGTCGCGAAGACGATGAGATGTTTGCCACGGGTTCTGTCAGTTGACTCGTCGCAGCTCAATCCGATGAAGGGTGATGCGTGGATATGCTGCATCTGCTGTGCTTTCAAGTACGCCACCATTGCGCGCACCATTTCCTTGAAGCCGTATCTGCACTTGGAAGGGCATGGAAAAGCCGGAATTAACTCGATGATTGATACGACAGCGGAGCAGTCGCAATTTCACCAAGAAATAGTACCAAAAATCGTGAGGCACCCCGGTACTTACTGCGTGATGTAGACGCCATAAGTCTGCTTCGGAATGTCCTCGACACCCTCCTCTGCCATGAACCCGACGAGCCGCGTGAACATGGCGATCGGGGCATCCTCCTTGCATATGAACAGCATAGTTCGAAGTAGACGAATGATCCTCGCGCCGTCAGGGTCGTGCTTCCCGAAGTCCTCCATTTTCTTCTGATTCTCGACCTCCTTCAGCAGCCCCTCTTGCTTCCTGACGGCGTTCTCGTGCCTTGTGCTCTCCTCATGCCAACGCATCGAGCCAATCTGGAGATCCCGTCCACCAGCACCGTTGCGCCCGTATCGTGCGTGGTCTTTGCCGTGCTCCATGCAGATACTGCAACGCAAGCAAGGTGCACCATCGTTAGTCTTATCCAGCACTAGCCAGGGGAATTTCGGTAACCAGTCGGCAGTGTACTTCCGTTGCGCAGCAAGATAGGCCTTCGCCATCTTCTCGGCGGGGGTTAAAGCAGCCGAAGGCAGTTGCTGTGGCACGGGCTCTGGCTCTGGTGGTGGCGGAGACTTAGGGGGAGGCGGCGCGAACGGGAGATAAGTCTGGTTGAAGCGACGCTTCTTTTCTGAGGCGGACGCAGGAGTTGAGGCAGGAGTTGATGCCGTTGATGTGGACGCTGGGGTTGATGCAGTGACAACAGGTACAACTGAAGGTTCGGCGACAGGACCAGCGTCAACCATAGCCTCCAAATTCCTGTCCCATTCCTCACTACTGAGAGAAGGCAGAGGCTGTGGCTCAACTGGAGCGGTAGCAACTCGACGGAGAAAGTCGAGCCCGCTAAGAGGGAGCGATCTAGGAGTTCGCAGATGGACAGACTCGTCGCCACCGCCATCGTCGGGCTCACTCCTGCCAGCCATGACGGCAGTGGCACGAGTGACGACGGGCGGCAGCGACGGCGAAGGTAAGCGGAGGTTTTCTTCTGCTAGGACGTTGTGAGAGATAGCTTTGGTGAAGGGGAGGAAGGGAAGGTTGAACAAGACGAGAGTTTCGTCTGCTCTTCTTGGGGGTGTGTGAATTGTGGGGTGCCTCGGAGTGGGTGAGGGAGTGACGTCGGTCGTGCATGCATGGATGGTGGCTAAGGTCGGCGTGCGGTGGTGAGGGAACTGCTGCCAGCCTTGCAGTGATGCTGCAGTCGTGACCAACCAGCGCGAAGGATGCTGCCAGCAGTGGCAAGGATGGCAGCATATGACGTGCCACTGCCTGGCGGTACGCGTAAAATGACGCGTATTGCGGGATATTGGGGCAAGGCCAGGTACAGGGTACAGGGGAAATCTATAGGTATACCCCCTGTACACTAACCCTCAGAGGGGTACAAATGGTTACTCTGATATAATCAGAGTAAAAAAAAACATCAATTTTTTTACTCAAGGCACTTAGAGTAGTTTTCAAAAACGACTCTGATTTTCAGAGAAACAGAGTAAATTACTCTGATAAAATAGGGCCTGCACCCGAGGCATAAACGCTCACTGCTGCGTGCCGCCAGGCCTTCAAGCAGGCCACTGCAACTTCAAGCTGCAACTTCAAGCGGGGCGGTAGAGCTTCAAGCGGGGCGGTAGAGCTTGCGGTTGCGCAGGCCATTCCAGAACTGCTTTGGCACCATGGGGCGCTTGCTCTCCGGCTGCAGCTCCAGCACCTGCACGGGGGAACGCATGGGTGGGGGAAGAAGCAGAGGGGGGGGGGGGGGAGGGGGGGAGTGGAGGGGGGTAGACGCAAGTGGGATGAAGAGAGTGCTTTGGCGCGATGGGGCAGTTCCTGTCTGGCTGCAGCCCCAGCTCCTGACCTTGGCACATGGAGTCCAGGGGCGCAGGAGGGCTTAGTCATGCGCTTGAAGAGAGAAGGGAAAGAGGATGTGGAGAAGTAAGGGGGTGGGGCGTGGGATGTCTGGGGGGTGGGGAGGAGAGGCAGGGAGAGGGAAGGGAGGAGGGAAGAGAAAGAAAGGAAGGTGGGAGGGGGGGAGGTAGTGGAGGACGGATGGGATGAGGTGGGGCAGGAGGATGTCAATTGGAGGGTGGGGTTGCAGCGAGCAGCCCAACCCATCAGTTGCTTCATCAACAGGCGGCAGGGAGGGAGAGTGGAAAAACAGGAGGGAGGGGAGGAAAAGGGGAGTGGCAAGACGAGCACAGCACCCGCAGTGACCACCACTCGGCGCGCACTGACCTCAAGCGCGGAGCCGTCATCGCAGGGAATGAGCATGACGTGCCCCTCCACCCGCACCTCCTGCACCTCCTCAGGGATCACCGCGTGGCCCACAGGCGAAGAGGACGATGGGGAGGAGGAGGAGGGGCTAACGGCAGGGCGGGGTTTGGTCCTCAGTATCTTGAGGGAGAGGTTGTCCACGTCGCCCGTGGTGGGGTCCTTGGCCACAAACGAGGCTCGCATGCCGGGCCATGGGACGAACGCCCGAACCTGAGAGCATGGTTTGGGGAGTAGTAGGAGGAGCAGAGGGAGTGGATGCGGAGCCATGGCAAGATAGGAAGGTGGAGAACGGGTGAAAGGACATGGCGCCGACCTGATGACGAATCAAAGGAGAGTTAATTGCGAGAGAGAGCATTGGTAGTGCAAATGGCAGTGCCGAACAACGAGAAGGGAAACAGAATCAGCTGGATAAATGCAGCAGCAAGGTTGCCAAATGATGCTGTGCGATGCTATATGCTGTGAAGCTGACTCGTGACGTTCTTCGGAGGGAGGTAGCGCGAATACAGGGAGCTGCACAATCTTGGCTGAGCATCGGCTGCCATGCAGGCACAGCAGGTGCATCGGCTGCCATTCAGGCACATCAGGTGCATTGGCTGCCATGCAGGCACAGCAGGTGCATCGGCTGCCATGCAGGCACAGCAGGTGCATCGGCTGCCATGCAGGCACAGCAGGTGCATCGGCTGCCATGCAGGCACAGCAGGTGCATCGGCTGCCATGCAGGCACAGCAGGTGCATTGGTTGCCATGCAGGCACGGCAGGTGCATTGGTTGCCATGTAGGCACCATGTGAGCGGTAAAGCACAAGCGAGTCTCATTCTCCCAGCAGAGGTGCCATGGTTTGCTGCGAGGGACGCACCTTGTTGTGCAGAGTGCGCGCTGGGAGGGCGAAGTCAAGAATTCCCTCCTCTGCTGCCACCTGGGGCACAGCAGGCATGGGGCATGGCAGGCATGGGGCACGGCAGGCATGGGGCACAGCAGGCATGGGGCATGGCAGGCATGGGGCATGGCAGGCATGGGGCATGGCAGGCATGGGGCATGGCAGGCATGGGGCATGGCAGGCATGGGGCATGGCAGGCATGGGGCATGGCAGGCATGGGGCATGGCAGGCATGGGGCATGGCAGGCATGGGGCACGGCAGGCATGGGGCACGGCAGGCATGGGGCACGGCAGGCATGGGGCACGGCAGGCATGGGGCACGGCAGGCATTGGGCATGGCAGGCATGGGGCATGGCAGGCATGGGGCAAGCGTCACGAGGTGCAACGGAGTGTGAGATGAGATGACAGAGGCAGAAAGACGATGCTGTTTTGGGGAGCAAGCAATGTTAAGGTCCTTTGAACGAGGTCCTTTGAACGAGGTTCTTTGAACGAGGTCCTTTGAACGAGGTCCTTTGAACGAGGTCCTTTGGATGAGGTCCTTTGAACGAGGTCCTTTGAACGAGGTCCTTTGAACGAGGTCCTTTGAACGAGGTCCTTTGAACGAGGTTCAAGGCAGCTCGCCCCAGCTTCCTCTTGGCACCTTGGCAGCGTGCGTGGCTTGCGAGTCGTCTTGAGGAGTGGCGCTGGCAGCAGCCGACCCGTCCAGCACAGACGGCAGATGCTGCAGGAGAAGCTGGGTGCCTGGCGGGAGGAGGGAAAGGGGGAGGGGGGGGAGTTGGGTGTAGGGGGGAGGAGGGGAGGGGCGAGAGAGCCATGTGCAGCGGCTGAGCCAAAGAGCAGGCGAAGGTGGTGGACGCTGCAGGGGCAGGCGAGCGCCGGGAAAGAGGAACGAGGAGAGAGGAACGAGGAGACAGGAACGAGGAGAGAGGATGGGCGGGGTGGTGAGGATGGCGGGGGGGTGGCAGAGATTGGTTCGGAGTTGCAAGTGCTGTGCGAGGCGAGGAGTGGCAGGCAGCATGGCAGCCGTGGCAACAACGGTGTGGGCAATGCAGGTGATGCGGCAATGCAGGTGATGCGGCAATGCAGGTGATGCGGCAATGCAGGTGATGCGGCAATGCAGGTGATGCGGCAATGCAGGTGATGCGGCAATGCAGGTGATGCGGCAATGCAGGTGATGCGGCAATGCAGGGTGGGGCAGGTGATGCGGCAATGCAGGTGATGCGGCAATGCAGGTGATGCGGCAATGCAGGTGATGCGGCAATGCAGGTGATGCGGCAATGCAGGTGATGCGGCAATGCAGGTGATGCGGCAATGCAGGTGATGCGGCAATGCAGGTGATGCGGCAATGCAGGTGATGCGGCAATGCAGGTGATGCGGCAATGCAGGTGATGCGGCAATGCAGGTGATGCGGCAATGCAGGTGATGAGGCAATGCAGGTGATGCGGCAATGCAGGTGATGCGGCAATGCAGGTGATGCGGCAATGCAGGTGATGCGGCAATGCAGGTGATGCGGCAATGCAGGTGATGCGGCAATGCAGGTGATGCGGCAATGCAGGTGATGAGGCAATGCAGGTGATGCGGCAATGCAGGTGATGCGGCAATGCAGGTGATGAGGCAATGCAGGTGATGCGGCAATGCAGGTGATGCGGCAATGCAGGTGATGCGGCAATGCAGGTGATGCGGCAATGCAGGTGATGCGGCAATGCAGGTGATGCGGCAATGCAGGTGATGCGGCAATGCAGGTGATGCGGCAATGCAGGTGATGCGGCAATGCAGGTGATGCGGCAATGCAGGTGATGCGGGAGGGCAATGCAGGTGATGCGGCAATGCAGGTGATGCGGCAATGCAGGTGATGCGGCAATGCATATGGGCAATGCAGGTGATGCGGCAATGCAGGTGATGCGGCAATGCAGGTGATGCGGCAATGCAGGTGATGCGGCAATGCAGGTGATGCGGCAATGCAGGTGATGCGGCAATGCAGGTGATGCGGCAATGCAGGTGATGCGGCAATGCAGGTGATGCGGCAATGCAGGTGATGGCAATGCAGGTGATGCGGCAATGCAGGTGATGCGGCAATGCAGGTGATGCGGCAATGCAGGTGATGCGGCAATGCAGGTGATGCGGCAATGCAGGTGATGCGGCAATGCAGGTGATGCGGCAATGCAGGTGATGCGGCAATGCAGGTGATGCGGCAATGCAGGTGATGCGGCAATGCAGGTGATGCGGCAATGCAGGTGATGAGGCAATGCAGGTGATGCGGCAATGCAGGTGATGCGGCAATGCAGGTGATGCGGCAATGCAGGTGATGCGGCAATGCAGGTGATGCGGCAATGCAGGTGATGGGGGGGGGGGGGGGGGGGGGGGGTGCAGGTGATGCGGCAATGCAGGTGATGCGGCAATGCAGGTGATGCGGCAATGCAGGTGATGCGGCAATGCAGGTTGATGCGGGCAATGCAGGTGATGACGGCAATGCAGGTGATGCGGCAATGCAGGTGATGCGGGCAGGGATGGGCAGGGTGATGCGGCAATGCAGGTGATGCGGGCAATGCAGGTGATGCGGCAATGCAGGTGATGCGGCAATGCAGGTGATGCGGCAATGCAGGTGATGCGGCAATGCAGGTGATGCGGCAATGCAGGTGATGCGGCAATGCAGGTGATGCGGCAATGCAGGTGATGCGGCAATGCAGGTGATGCGGCAATGCAGGTGATGCGGCAATGCAGGTGATGCGGCAATGCAGGTGATGCCGGCAATGCAGGTGATGCGGCAATGCAGGTGATGAGGGCAATGCAGGTGATGCGGCAATGCAGGTGATGCGGCAATGCAGGTGATGAGGCAATGCAGGTGATGCGGCAATGCAGGTGATGCGGCAATGCAGGTGATGCGGCAATGCAGGTGATGCGGCAATGCAGGTGATGCGGCAATGCAGGTGATGCGGCAATGCAGGTGATGAGGGAGACAATAGTCTGAGAGACGAGTGCAGGTGTCCCGCAGTACGTGGGATGGGCAGGGCAGCCACACTGCTGCTCCACGGCAGCGCAGGCCAAGGGGCGGTGTGGGAGTCGGATGAGAGGCAGGGCGACGAGACACCGACAAGGCAGGCCAGGGATGGCAGTGACAGAGGCGCGGCAGCCGGAGCCCTGGCAGCGCGAGGAACGTCAGAGGGAGGCCGGTCTGCAAGGCACGGCATGAATGCCGCCACCTGCTGCTGCACTGCCACCCCTGGGGGCTGTGCTGGCAGGCGCGCTCACCTCGGTGAAAGAGGTCGGCCAGCAGCTGGGGCGCCTGGATGGCGTCGTCCACACGCACCCTCTCCTGCGCGATGACGGGGCCCGCGTCCATCGCCAGCACCGTGAACGCCACCGTCACGCCCGTCTCATGCACGCCTTGCTGGGGGTGGGAGAGAGGTGGGAGTGAGGTGGATTGATGAGGCAAGGAGCAGAAGGAAGGGTGCATTGAAATGTGTTGGGTTCCTCAAAGCATGACCGGAAAAGGAAAACAGCTCCTTTTGAAAAACAGGACGCAGTCTGGAAGTAGTGGGTGACGGATCGGATCGGGCAAGACAAGCACATGCCGTCGCTCACACTCCCCTCTTACCTCGAGTGCTCGTTGCACGGGCGACGCTCCCCTGAACTTGGGAAGCAAGCTGGGGTGAATGTTCACAGTGCCTGCTCAGCTCAGTGGCCACACGCCCACGGGAGGAAGAACTCTCTTTGATAGGAGCCACGTGATGAGAGCCACGTGATGAGAGCCACGTGATGAGAGCCACGTGATGAGAGCGTTTCCATGCCACTGGCATGATGCGGCTTATTTCATGCAAGCAATGTGATGCGAGCGAGTCAATCAATAAGAGGCATTGTAATGGGAGCTGTGTGGTGGGATTCATGCCAGCCATGTGATGAGAGCTGGTTCATGCCAGCCATGTGATGAGAGCTGGTTCATGCAAGCCATGTGATGAGAGCTGGTTCATGCCAGCCATGTGATGAGAGCTGGTTCATGCCAGCCATGTGATGAGAGCTGGTTCATGCAAGCCATGTGATGAGAGCTGGTTCATGCCAGCCATGTGATGAGAGCTGGTTCATGCCAGCCATGTGATGAGAGCTGGTTCATGCGCATTTAGAGGTGTAGTGCTTGAAGCGAGTTCTGCGATCTGGACCAACCCGTCCTCTCCTCCTTTCACACTTCCTGCCACTTGCCACCGGCTACTTGCAAGCTGTGTCAACCCCTCTCTTCTCTCAGTTGGCTCTGTGTCAACCTTCAACCCCTCTCTGCTCTCAGTTGGCTCTGTGTCAACCTTCAACCCCTCTCTGCTCTCAGTTGGCTCTGGCCCCAACGCCTTCAACATGCGTGAGCTACTTCCACCCCTTCCCCTCAGGAAAGCTCACTTGTATGTTTGGAAGAAGAAAAGTCATGAGAAGAAAAGTCATGAGAAGAAAGGGCATGAGAAGAAAGGGCATGAGAAGAAAGGGCATGAGAAGAAAGGGCATGAGAAGAAAGGGCATGAGAAGAAAGGGCATGAGGTGCTGACAGGGCATGAGGTGCTGACAGGGCATGAGGTGCTGACAGGGCATGAGGTGCTGACAGGGCATGAGGTGCTGACAGGGCATGAGGTGCTGACATGGCATGAGGTGCTGACAGGGCATGAGGTGCTAACTCAAGGAGAAGCAACGGTAGGTACCTCGGAGAGGAATCGAGAGGAAGGAAGATGGGAGGAAGTTTCCATATGCTGCAGTGACGCACACGTCAGGCTGCAGCTGCCTGAGCTGGTCCAGAAAGGCGGCCTGGGCGCGCGGGGCATGGCGGGCATTCAGGGGAGGGAGGACAGGCGCTGACGACAGGGAGGGAGGACAGGCTCTGACGACAGGGAGGGAGGACAGGCTCTGACGACAGGGAGGGAGGACAGGCTCTGACGACAGGGAGGGAGGACAGGCTCTGACGACAGGGAGGGAGGACAGGCTCTGACGACAGGGAGGGAGGACAGGCTCTGACGACAGGGAGGGAGGACAGGCTCTGACGACAGGGAGGGAGGACAGGCTCTGACGACAGGGAGGGAGGACAGGCTCTGACGACAGGGAGGGAGGACAGGCTGTGACGACAGGGAGGGAGGACAGGCTCTGACGACAGGGAGGGAGGACAGGCTCTGACGACAGGGAGGGAGGACAGGCTCTGACGACAGGGAGGGAGGACAGGCTCTGACGACAGGGAGGGAGGACAGGCTCTGACGACAGGGAGGGAGGACAGGCTCTGACGACAGGGAGGGAGGACAGGCTCTGACGACAGGGAGGGAGGACAGGCTCTGACGACAGGGAGGGAGGACAGGCTGTGACGACAGGGAGGGAGGACAGGCTCTGACGACAGGGAGGGAGGACAGGCTCTGACGACAGGGAGGGAGGACAGGCTCTGACGACAGGGAGGGAGGACAGGCTCTGACGACAGGGAGGGAGGACAGGCTCTGACGACAGGGAGGAAGGTTGACGACAGGGAGGACAGGCTCTGACGACAGGGAGGGAGGACAGGCTCTGACGACAGGGAGGGAGGACAGGCTCTGACGACAGGGAGGGAGGACAGGCTCTGACGACAGGGAGGGAGGACAGGCTCTGACGACAGGGAGGGAGGACAGGCTCTGACGACAGGGAGGGAGGACAGGCTCTGACGACAGGGAGGGAGGACAGGCTCTGACGACAGGGAGGGAGGACAGGCTCTGACGACAGGGAGGGAGGACAGGCTCTGACGACAGGGAGGGGGCAGGGGGGGGGGGGACAGGCTGTGACGACAGGGAGGGAGGACAGGCTCTGACGACAGGGAGGGAGGACAGGCTCTGACGACAGGGAGGGAGGACAGGCTCTGACGACAGGGAGGGAGGACAGGCTCTGACGACAGGGAGGGAGGACAGGCTCTGACGACAGGGAGGGAGGACAGGCTCTGACGACAGGGAGGGAGGACAGGCTCTGACGACAGGGAGGGAGGACAGGCTCTGACGACAGGGAGGGAGGACAGGCTCTGACGACAGGGAGGGAGGACAGGCTGTGACGACAGGGAGGGAGGACAGGCTCTGACGACAGGGAGGGAGGACAGGCTGTGACGACAGGGAGGGAGGACAGGCTCTGACGACAGGGAGGGAGGACAGGCTCTGACGACAGGGAGGGAGGACAGGCTCTGACGACAGGGAGGGAGGACAGGCTCTGACGACAGGGAGGGAGGACAGGCTCTGACGACAGGGAGGGAGGACAGGCTCTGACGACAGGGAGGGAGGACAGGCTCTGACGACAGGGAGGGAGGACAGGCTCTGACGACAGGGAGGGAGGACAGGCTCTGACGACAGGGAGGGAGGACAGGCTCTGACGACAGGGAGGGAGGACAGGCTCTGACGACAGGGAGGGAGGACAGGCTCTGACGACAGGGAGGGAGGACAGGCTGTGACGACAGGGAGGGAGGACAGGCTCTGACGACAGGGAGGGAGGACAGGCTCTGACGACAGGGAGGGAGGACAGGCTCTGACGACAGGGAGGGAGGACAGGCTCTGACGACAGGGAGGGAGGACAGGCTCTGACGACAGGGAGGGAGGACAGGCTCTGACGACAGGGAGGGAGGACAGGCTCTGACGACAGGGAGGGAGGACAGGCTCTGACGACAGGGAGGGAGGACAGGCTCTGACGACAGGGAGGGAGGACAGGCTCTGACGACAGGGAGGGAGGACAGGCTCTGACGACAGGGAGGGAGGACAGGCTCTGACGACAGGGAGGGAGGACAGGCTCTGACGACAGGGAGGGAGGACAGGCTGTGACGACAGGGAGGGAGGACAGGCTCTGACGACAGGGAGGGAGGACAGGCTCTGACGACAGGGAGGGAGGACAGGCTCTGACGACAGGGAGGGAGGAGGCGCGAAGTTTACAGTTGCGAAAGTGGTCGCAAGGACAAGCGGCACACGCACAGACAGCAGCAGCTATGTTGGAAAATACGCGTATTGCGTTTTATACGCTAGCGTATATACGCTTGCGTATATACGCTATACGCTTGGATTTGGGGTCCAATACGGCAGGAATACGGCTGCCCGGGCAGGCAAAAAAATTTTGCCCGGGCAGGGAAAAAAAACCGGCGGGCAGCCGGGAGAGGGGGGGTGGGGGCCCGGGGGGCAGGGCATCAAGTTTGATTTTTTCTTCTTCTCCATTAAAATAACTTAACACAGGCATTTGTCACATCAAGAGCTTACTGCTAGCCCCTACCACTGCTATCACTGCTGCTACTACTTCTACAGCTGCTGCAGCCACTCTCGCCCACTGCTGCTGCTGACTGGTCCACTGCTGCTGCTGTTACTCCCACTGCTGCAGCTGCCTGCCCCCCTGGTGCTGCCGCTGCCACTCCCCCTGCAGCTGCCTCTGGTGACGGGTCTACTGGTACTCGTCCTCCATGACGAGATCCTCCCCCTCCTCCTCCTCCAGGTCGTCCTCCAGGTTGTACCCCGTGGGCACAGGGGCCTCGGAGCTGCACCCAGGAAGGACCAAGGACCCCCCGTCCTCCTTGTGCCAGTTGTGGACCTGGTGCCAGTTGTGGGACACATAGACCAGGTCCCGACACTTTTCGGCACCGAGGCGGTTGCGCTTGGCAGTGTGGACCGCCTCCCACACTGCCCAGTTACGCTCGCATGCGGCCGCTGAAACGGGCTGTGAGAGCACCCGACAGGCCAGTGCGGCAAGCTCAGGGTAGTCGGACCCATGCCACTGCCACCACCGCGCCATGCTCTGCCTCCCCTCCTTCACTGCTGCACGATCAGCAATGGCGGTGGGGAGCCCGAAGCTGCCCTTCAGAGTGATGAAGGCGTCGAGGCCGTCTTGCATCACGAGGGTTGCACGAATGGGCTCGCCATCCCTCATGAACTCTTTGTCTTCGTAGTGGCGGGCGATGAAGGCTTTGAATACCCTCGTGCACTCCATGTCCGAGGGGAAGATCCCCTCCTCCTGATTGGCCGGGTTTAGGATGCGGCCAACCACATGGAGGGGGCACGCCATGCTGCCGTCCCACCTCCTTTTCACCATGCGGCGGATGGCATTGGCGTCCGCAGCGGTGAGCCCCTCCAGCCGCGCCTCCTCCAGCTTCTCATCGACATCAACGGTGAGCTGCAGCATGAGGTCGTACATACGACCCATCATGCCCTTCGCCGACGAGTCGGTGGCGCGCATTGCCATGAACGGCAGCCGCATGAGGTTGACAAACTGCAGGGCCTTGGTCCACCAGTCGGAGTCGAGTATGGCAGCGCTGAACGCCTCGCTGCCCGGCTTCCTCCCCCCATCCGCGAACCTGGCCCACTCCTCACTCAGCACAAGCTGAGTGAGAGACATCCGCACCTCGCACAGCCGGGACACGGAGATGAATTGGGTGCCGAAACGCGTGCCGGCCGGTTTCAGCACCTGTTTCCCCTTGCCCCCCTCCACCTTATCGCTCCGCATGTAGTTGCGGGTGAGGTGGTGCTTGCGGACGAAGGAGGTGATGATGTTGGCCTTCTCCACCACCTCCTTCGCCCACGCCATCCTCCCGATGTCCTCCATGAGGAGGTCGAGCACGTGCGTGGCGCATGGCACGTGCTCGATGTGGGGGTGCTCGGCGATTAGGATCCTGCAGGCCGCGGCGTAGTTCGAGCCGCCATCCATGCAGAAAGCGACGACGTTCTCCGGCCCAACGCGCTGGATAATAGGGCGGAGAATACCGGCAATATAGCCGCCGGTCTTCATTTCCATGTTTGTGTCCACAGCATCAGTAAAAACTGCTCCGGAGTCGTTGATAAGGAGGACGTTGGCGATGGGCCGGCCGTTCTGGTCCGTCATCATATCGCTAGCAATGGTGACGCCGCTCCGCCGCCAGCTGCTGGAGATGGGAACCAGCGCGGCCTCGATACTGGTGCGGCAGTCGCGCAGGCCGGCACCGCCGATGTACTTGCGCTTCGGGGGAACGTAGGAAGTGCCGGCGCGAGCGATGGCGGAGACCGCATTCCGGAAGAGGACGTGGTCCGCGTGATGCTCCGGCAGGCGCAGACCAGCGAAGAGGAGGCAGAGCGCCCGGTCCGCTTCCTTCTTACGGCAGGCGGACTCGTCACCGAAAAAATTGGTGATGCGCCCCTTTTTGCCGCTGCCGCAGCCGTTAACCGCAGACAGCGCTTGCTCCTCCGCCTCGCGCTTCCCCTCCCGCTCCCTAATTCGTGCCTCGTACAGCGCCTTAACTCCGTCGCGCACGTCTTGCGTCACCGCGGTGCAGAGGGTCACATCGCGACGACGAAGTTTGTTCCACTCGGCGAGGTGCTGCGCGCAACGCGTCATCCCGCCATTGAAGGTGTGCCCGCAATAACAGCAGCGGCGGTTTTCCGTAGTCTTGCCGTCCGCATTAAGCGCGGTTTCGAAATGCTTAAAAATAGGATGCGACGCATCCGTAACGTAAACAGTGCCGGAGGAGGAGGCAGCCTCGCCATCGTTAGTAGGTGCGGGCACGCTCGGGGGGGTTGATGGGGTGGACGACGCCATGACCACTACGGTGAAGTAAGAGGGGAACTGAGCTAAGCTAAGCTAGGGGAGGGAGAGGTTGGAGTTGGAAAATGAAAGGAGATGGTGATTCAGATCTAAACTATGGCGGGAATGGGGGACGACAAACACGGGATGCCTTCCCTCCACGTCCACGGCTGGTGAGGGGTGGGCGAAAAACCGCGGGCGAAAATTTCTGAGAGTTCGCGATGTCGCGAACTCGGCAAAAAAATTTTGATTTTTTTTTTTTTTTTGCCGGGCAGCCCCGATATTGCGTATCGCGTATTCCAAGCGTATCAGCGTATTGCGTATATTCGCAAGCGTATATACGCAATACGCAAAGCTTGCTGTGCGTTTTTTCCAACATAGAGCAGCAGGCACAAGGCACACACATCGCGGGCCGAGGCGGGCGAGAGGATGCGGTCGGGCGGCAAGCCGCGATCCGCTGCCAGCTGTCCCACCGCGGTCGGCTGCAGCTGCCCCTTGCTGCGCCCCCTGCCTCGACTAGACGGCGGCTGGGTGACCACCGCCGCCACCTGCAGCACGGGCGGTGCGGGGGACGGGGGGGGAAGGAGGGGGGGGAGGAGGGGGAGAAGGAGAGGGAGAAGGAGGGGGAGAAGGAGGGGGAGAAGGAGGGGGAGAAGGAGAGGGAGGAGGGGTGGAGGAGGGGGAGAAGGAGGGGGAGAAGGAGGGGGAGAAGGAGGGGGAAAAGGAGGGGGAGAAGGAGAGGGAGAAGGAGGGGCTGCAGCTGCAGCTCGCTCCACTCGCGGTTGGCCCTGATCGAAGGGACCAAGGGACGGGCGGCCCCTGCTCTGCTCTCCCAGAAAGCAAGGTGAGAGCCCTGTGGCGCTAGATAGCACGGCCAAATGGCGAGGGGGGAGACGAAGCACGGGAGAAGGAAAGGAAATTGCAAGGAGCCACCCGCATCCGACTCTTATGGTCGGCAGAGGTCAAGAGCCGCCAACCCAGTGCGCATGGGGACTGCTGGAGAACTGGTGAAAACCACTGCCCCTGCCACCAATGCATGCCCTCCTGCTCCCCCCACGCCCTGCGCGCACCCCCCCCACGCCCTGCGTGCACCACCCCCACGCCCTGCGTGCACCACCCCCACGCCCTGCGCGCACCCCCCCCACGCACTGTGCGCACCCCCCCACGCCCTGCGCACACCCCCCCCACGCCCTGCGCGCACCCCCCCCACGCCCTGCGCGCACCCCCCCCACGCCCCGTGTGGGGACGCACCTCAAACAGCGAGTGGGGCTGCTGAGCCGCGTCTAGCAGCTGACCCAACACGCGCGCTGCCACCTGGCGCCGGGAGAAACAGGGAGAAAGGGGATGGGTTGGGGAAGGGGGGGAGTGAGAGATGCAGGGATGGGTTGGGGGGGGGCAGGTGCGGTGCATTGCAGGGGGAGGATGAGAGGGGCGCAAGTGTGGCACACGGGGAATGTGGTGGTTGGCGCAACGCCTCGTGGTGCCTCGTGGTGCCACGTGGTGCAGAGGAGAAACGGCGCATGTGACCCGCGGAGATGTGTGGGGGAAGACGCGAGGAGAGGAGTGTGAGGAGGGGGGTGAATGTGGGGGGGAGATGTGAAATAAATGCAGGGCAGTAGAGATGGGGAGGGGGGAAAGGGAAGGAGGAGGTGGTTTGCTTCCCAAGGCGCGGAGAGCAACAACAGGGAGGAAGAGAGGAACGCAGCGTGGAGAGAGGAGGAGAAAGGCGGAGGAGGAGGAGAGAGGAGGAGGCGGAGAAAGGAGGAGGAGGAGGAGAGAGGAGGAGGCGGAGAAAGGTGGAGAAAGGAGGAGGAAGAGAAAGGCAGCCTTGTAGCAGGAGGCGGTGGTGGCGGAGAGCAAGGAACGCAGCACCGCCGTACTGAGAAAGACTGCAGCCCGCTTTTTGCTTGTTGCTTGTTGTTTCCCAGTCTCTAGCCATCCACCGCCTTGCTTCTACCTCCTCCGAGTCTCACCCACCTCAGGCGACCCAAGAAACACGAGCTTCTTCTTGTCCGCGCTATTGGCACCTTCGCTATGCGCTTTACAGGAGAAGTCTCGACGCATGCAGCCAGCGGGTACCGGACGCGGCCAAATGGAGTGCGCGAGAGTGCGATAGGAGAGCCTTCTGTAACCGTTGGTTGCGAAAGTCGATGAAAATGAATAATTTCGATTGTGAGAGGGTCTGTCCGCGATATGGACGGGCTTGTGCATGCTGCTAGGGTAGCCGAGATGGGCTCTGACGGCGGGCTGGACGGAGACGGCTAGCCGACAGATACTCCGCTGGAGTTCCATGGTTGCCAGAGGCGCTGGCGGTGCCTGACGCAGTCAAACAAAATCAGCAGCAAAAAACAGCAAGCTGCGCCAGCTGGAATGCTGGAGCCTGAAGGTTCACTCAACACTCACTTGGCCGACGAACCGAGCCAGCGTTTGTAGGACCCCGATACAGTGGCGAGCGGCGGCAGAAACATTTTGCGACGTGTGCTGCAATGGGAACGTTCGAGCCGTCTGTGGTGCGTGTTTTCGGCCTTCAAATGCACATTTTTCGATAGAACGACGAAGCGAATTCACGACACTCGCGGATATGGTTACCGTAGAAAAAACCGAACTAGTCAAATGAACCGAGCAGCTACGACTGAGGGCATCTGGGCACTGTATGGAACCCAAGCGTAAATTTTATGCCCTGAATCCAAGTTGGAGCTTCGGAAAGGTTCTGCCATCTAGCGCAAGCACAGAACACGCCTCTCGCTAAGGCCTAGGGTATTCCGTTAGGTGACTAAATTGGCCCAGACTTACCCGCTAGCGGACGGAATCGCCGGCAAACTACCCGTTAGCATACGGATTCCAGAGACTAGAACTGCCGGCTTAACCCCGTGTTTTCCGCAACCGCACGCTAACGCCATGGCGGGAGTCAAGCGGGCTCGGCGCGCAGCGGTGGGGTCGCGGTCGCCGTCGCCCGAGATGGACGCTGTGTACTACAACCTGCTGCTCGCTGCGCTGCGCGCCCGCCAGGACGCGGGCGTTGCCTTCTACGGCGCGTTCGTCGCGGACCCCGAGCCCGTGCCGCCCGCCCTCTACGCGCACTGGGTGCCGCCGCCCGGGTCGTTCGCCGTGCAGCGCGGCGACGGCGACGAAGACGACGAGCGACGCTGGGACGAGGACGACGCGGGGAGGGACGGCGAGGAAGACACGGACGCGGACGCGGGGGAGCACGCCGGGTCGGAGGGCGAGGGGGGAGCGGAAGGCGCATCGGCGGAAGCGGTGGTCGCGCGCAGGGGCCCAGGCAGGCCGCGATCGGCGCGGAGCCGGCCGTCCGCCGCAGCAGGGGGGGCAGGGGGGGGCGGGGAGAGCGCGGAGTTGGCGAGCGAGGAGACGATGATGCCAGCGTGGCTGCAGGAGCTGATCGCCGCGGACGCGGAGGAGGGCGCGCAGCAGCGGGGCGAGGGCGAGCAGGGGGAGCGGCAGGGCGGGGCGGCGCAGGACGCGCCGGCCTTCCCCGTGGTGGACGGCAGCTCGACCCGTGGGTCGTTCCCCGCCGCCGTGGCCGCCGTGCGATTCGTGGAGAAAGCCAGGCGCCGCCTGGGGGGCGTGCCCGGGCCCACGGGGGAGGTGGAGGGGGGTGGCGGGGTGGGCGGGGAGGGGGAGGTGTGGAAGGACAGGCTGGCGGTGGAGATGATGATGTCAGCGCTCGGCGTGAAGGGCACGCTGGGGGCGCGGGAGGGCAGCGGGGAGCGGATCGAGCGGTGGACGCCCACTGAGGACGCGGTCCTGCTGGTGGGGCGCGTGCTGTTCGGCACGCGGTGGGTCAGCATCGAGCGCATCCTCCCTGGCAGGTGGGTCAGCGTCGAGCGCATCCTCCCTGGCAGGTGGGTCAGCGTCGAGCGCATCCTCCCTGGCAGGTGGGTCAGCGTCGAGCGCATCCTCCCTGGCAGGTGCGTCTTGCTCCTGTTGCACCCAATTGCCAATTCTTCTGCTTCTATCTGGCTCGCTGTCTGTTGCTGCCATGCATGCATCATCCGTCCCCTCCGCCATCCCCGTCCCCCCCTTCCCCCCCTCCCCACCTCCCCACCTCCCCACCTCCCCACCTCCCCCCCTCCCCCCCTGCAGGTCCATCCAGGCCATCAAGACGCGCTGGCTCAACTACCTCAAGGGTCTCTTCCGCCGCCACCGCTGGTGCACCACCGCCCTCGCCCCGCCGCTCTCCAAGGACGCCGCCGCCTTCCTCCCCCCACCACCCTCGCCGCTGCCCACCCCTCCCCCCGCCCCCGCCACCTCAGCTGCCGCTGATTCTGGCTCAGCAGAGCGACGCGCCTCAACCCCTCCGCCCTCCGCTGCTGCCACTCCTGCCCCCCACGCCCGCCTCTCCCTCTCCCTGCCTGCCCCTGCCGCTGCTTCAACGCCTCGCCCCACTGCCTCCGCCCCCCATGCCCCTCCCACTGCTCCCCACTCCTCCCTCCCCGCCTCTGCCAATGCGCGTTCCTCCGCTGCCGTTGCCACCCCCCCTCCATCCGCCCGCGCCCCCCATCCTCCCCAGCCGCTAGCCCCTCTCATGCCGTCAGCGCCTGAGAGGACTCCAGGCAGGCCGCTCCTCAGCATGCCTGCTGCCGCACCACCAGCAGCAGCAGCAGCAGCAGGTGGCAGTGCAGGGGGAGCAGGAGGGCCATCAGGTGCTGCGTCAGGTGGTCGCCCAGGTGGTGGCATGGTGGCATCAGGAGTGTCGTCCACACCAACCAAGCGATCCCGATCCCAGCCGCAGTCCCAGGCGCAGTCCCAACCGCAGTCCCATTCCCAGCAGTCCCAACCGCAGTCCCATTCCCAGCAGTCCCAGTCCCCAGCTGCACACGCCTCACGCCCCTCTCTCCCTGCCAGCAACCCCCCTGCCTCCCGTCCGCCCTCCTCTGCCGCAGCAGGGCCTCCAGAGGAGGTGGGCAAGGAGGAGCGCGTGCGGCGCCACGAGCGCTACCTCACGTGCCTCATGCTGCACGCTGAGAAGGGCCCGCCGCCTGCCGCCCTCTCCGCCACGCACGAGCTCTACTGCTTCGCCTGCAAGTCTCCCGAGGGACAGCTGTCGCCTTGCTATTGGTCGGAAGAGGCTGTGGCGGCCACAGCGGCGGAGTGGGGCGGGGGAGGGGGGGCGGTGGTGGGGCTGATACCGTGTGGCAAGGCGTACCATGCGAGATGTGTCAATGCGCCAGTCAAGGTGGGTGGGTCCACGTGGCAGTCATGGTGACCCGTTACGCCTGTATGGTGAGACGGCCCTGTTGCCTTGCTCATTTGCACCATCACCCACCTACCTTCACCTCATTGCCACTCTCTCACCCCTCCGCTACCTTCCTTGCATTTTTTCCTTCCGCATTCCTATTTATTTTCAGGATGGCTGCCCGTTCATCTGCCCGAGGCATCAGTGCAAGCAGCGTGGGTGCCGTGCCAGCGTGGCCGCTGTGTGCCGCAGCTGTCCCTCCTCCTGGTGCTCTCTCCATGTGCCGCCCGCCTCTGTCGACTGCGAGCCCTCGTTTCTGAGAAGGTTCCAAGTCAGACCTCAAGTCCGCATTGCCATATGCCCTTCGTGCCAGGTGTGTGGGTGGATGCGTGGGTGTGTGTAGGGGGGCGGGGGGGCATGTTTGTTTGTGTGCAAACGTGCGTGGCGTTGTGTTGTGTACGGCGGCGCGGCGTGCACACTCACTGCTTCCACAGGTGCGCTTCTCATGAAGCGCGCCACGGCCATGCCGCGGATTCACACATGCCGCGCATCCAGTCCAGAGCGCCTGCACCAGGTCACTTCAATGCTGCGTCCACCGCAGCATCACTGCCTCTGCGTGCTTCTCATAATTGCGTGTCCAACCATCCGCTCCCCCACCCCTGGCCATCCTCCCTGTGTTGCCTCTGGCAGGAGGTGGAGCAGAGAGTGCCCTACCTCGGCCACAGCACGCAGGGGGGCGTGGGGACCGCAGGCGCTGCTGCTGTGGCGGCAGCAGGTGACGGGCAGGCGCAGGCGCAGGGAGCTGAGGAGGGAGGCAGCGGTGGCAAGGCAGGGGTGCAAGGAAGCGGGGAAGATGAGGGAGGGGGGGCAGTGAAGGGGCGGAGGAAGGCAGTGAGCGTGCTGGTACCATCCATACAGGGGAATCCACAGCCGCAGCAGCAACAGCACCAGCACCAGCAACAGCAACAGCAACAGCAACAGCACCAGCAACAGCAACAGCAACAGCAACAGCAACAGCAACAGCAACAGCACCAGCAACAGCAACAGCAACAGCAACAGCACCAGCAACAGCAACAGCAACAGCAACAGCAACAGCAACAGCAACAGCAACAGCAACAGCAACAGCAACAGCAACAGCAACAGCAACAGCATCAGCATCAGCAGCAACAACAGCAGCAGCACCAGCAGCAGCAGCAGCAGCAGCAGCAGCAGCAGCAGCAGCAGCAGCAGCAGCAGCAGCAGCAGCAGCAGCAGCAGCAGCAGCAACAACAGCAGCAACACCAGCAGCACCAGCAGCAGCAACAACAACAGCAGCAGCAGCAGCAGCAGCAGCAGCAGCAGCAGCAGCAGCAGCAGCAGGCAGGTGGAAGGGCCATGAGGCCAGGTGTTGGTTCCATGGGAGCAGGTGTGGGTGGTGTGGCGGCAGATGGGGGCCCACGGGGAGTGGGTCACCTGCATGGGATGGCAGGGCTGCCCATGGCGGCGCATGGGGTGATGGGCCAGTATGCGCCTGCCATGGGGCAGCATCACGCCATGGGCCTGCAGCAGCAGCACGTGATGGAGCAAGGCGCAGCCCCGACATCAACCCACCAGGGCCAGATCATGGGTCTGCGTACACCTTCAACTGCAGGGGTGGGAGCAGCAGGTGTGGCAGCAGCAGCAGGAGCGGGAGCAGCGGCGGCACGGGAGTGGGCGGAGGTGCTTGAGGAGATTCGTTTTGTGCCCACGGACCGCCCAGCTGACATCTTCAACCGCATCCAGCAGGTGACATGCTCAACCGCATCCAGCAGGTGCCATGCTCAACCGCATCCAGCAGGTGACATGCTCAACCGCATCCAGCAGGTGCCATGCTCAACCGCATCCAGCAGGTGACATGCTCAACCGCATCCAGGTGACATGCTCAACCGCATCCAGCAGGTGCCATGCTCAACCGCATCCAGCAGGTGACATGCTCAACCACATCCAGCAGGTGACATGCTCGACCGCATCCAACAGGTGCCATGCTCAACCGCATCCAGCAGGTGAGGGCGATGGTTGGTGAGAGGCGATGGCTGGGGAAGAGGCGATGGATGGTGAGGGGTGATGGATGGTGAGGGGTGATGGATGGTGAGTGGTGATGGATGGTGAGTGGTGATGGATGGTGAGTGGTGATGGATGGTGAGTGGTGATGGATGGTGAGGGGTGATGGATGGTGAGTGGTGATGGATGGTGAGTGGTGATGGATGGTGAGTGGTGATGGATGGTGAGTGGTTATGGCTGGTCAGGGACAGTTGACTGGTTAGGGGGGCGGTTGAGTCGTCAGAGGCGGTTTCTTATGACTCTCGGCGGACTCGCATGTGATTCTCCTCACTCTCCATAGACTGCCCATAGACTGCCCATAGACTGCCCACAGACTGCCCATAGACTGCCCATAGACTGCCCATAGACTGCCCATAGACTGCCCATAGACTGCCCACAGACTGCCCATAGACTGCCCATAGACTGCCCACAGACTGCCCATAGACTGCCCATAGACTGCCCATAGACTGCCCATAGAAGACTGCCCATAGACTGCCCATAGACTGCCCACTGCCCATAGACTGCCCATAGACTGCTCATAGACTGCCCATAGACTGCCCATAGACTGCCCATAGACTGCCCATAGACTGCCCATAGACTGCCCATAGACTGCCCATAGACTGCCCATAGACTGCCCATAGACTGCCCATAGACTGCCCATTGGCAGCCCATTGACTCTCCGTAATAAAACATATTTTTCTCTTTCCGCTGCCCTGTGCCCCAAGCAGGCGCTGCCTCTCGCGCGGGCGCAGGGCGTGGCACCGGAGGCTCTGGCGGTGTTGGAACGAGCTGCCTCCGCTGCCGCTGCTGCCACCTCCGCCGCCTCCCTTCCTGCTGGCCCCAGCCCCGGTTCGCACCGCCCCTCCGGTGCTGCTGCTGCTGCCAAGAACATGGCGCTGCAGGTAGGCAAGGCACAGGGGAAGGGCATGTGGGGAGGTGAGGGGGGGGGAGAAGAGAGGGGGAGGAGCAAGAGGAGCAGAGAAAGAGAAGGGGGATGATTGCAGTGTTAAATGTTGTGGTAACTGCAAATGGTGCATGTGCGTGTATGCTGCATCGGCATCGACCATCTGTGTGCATGTTGCCTGGTGCATGGTGGATGGCCATGTGCATGTATGTTTCTCAACGCATGGTGCATGACCGTGTATGCTACTTGGTGCATGGTGGCAGGTGATTGAGATGTACCGCAATGTGTCGTGGTCTCGACTCCCACAGCCTGCACCACGACCACACCCGTACTTTGGCTTCCCTGGCATGTAGTCGCCGAGCAATACGGTATCTTCTGCCATTCGGCACTGCTCATGTTTATTCCATGTTTATCAGGGCGAATTCCTCTGACCTCGCACCCGACCACTGTTAGAATACTAGAATCTGAAAGAATTTGAAAGGTGGTGCAGGAGACTATAGAATCTGGAGACACAAGTACCGTAATCACCCGGATAGACGCCCCTAGGGGCGTTTACTAGACTGGTTTGAAAACGTGGGGGGGCGTTTAACGTGGTTTGAAAAATATAAGCCCATGGGCGTTTTAAAGGGATTATATGGAAAATACAATTTTGACATCGACATGTAGCTGCTGGTTTGTCGTGTGCAATGGGAGTAATTTTAGGCGAGGATTAAAGTCAATCGCGTTGGAAGTCCAGTCAACGCGGTGCCAGGCTGGAAACTTCCTTTTCTGATACGAATCGTGCTGGCGCGAGGTGTCAGGGAGCGTGAGTTCCGCCTCTGACGGGCACGAAGCGAGATGCCTCGGTATTACCTGCACCCGTTCGGTCTATTTGTACAAAGTTTCAACTGAATTTCTGAGGGGGCTTATAGGGTACATGTTCTGAAAAAATAGGGGGGGCCTATAATCGAATAATGCCTATAAGTCCCAATGCACGAGTTAGAGCCCATGGGACTAATCCTACGGAGGGGCGTCTATCCGGGTGATTACGGTACTTGAAGTAGAAAGTGTTAGAATGCGAGAATAAATGACTAGTGTGAGGAACCTAGAACATATACCTGTTTGGGTTGTACTCACTAGAAGCACACACCTAGGCTAGCCTACAACTTCTACATACAGCATATGTATAAGTTGACACACCCCCTAGGCTAGAGAAGGGGTGGTGCTAGCCAAGAAGTACACATCTCAAGGTGGTACTACTACTCCAACCACTGAGGCAGAGGTCTGGAGACCAGTCAGCAAGAGTACAAACAAGACTAAAGCAAGCCAGGGCGGCACTACTAGTCCGGCCACAGGAGGTAAGGCCACAAGGCCAGTCAGACAGGTATATATATAGTAGGGAGTACACAATCAGGGTCCTAACAGGTGAGTAGCTACAGGAACAAGACCAAGCTGTACACAGTGCCGCTGATGATCTTTAGGCGCAAGCGCCTTCGTAAAGATATCAGCTGTGTTGGCACCGGAGGCCAAGTGAACTACGCGGGCCTGGAGACGCTGCTATAGCTCGTGCATGAGGAAGTACCGCAGCTGGATATGCTTCGCTCTGCCCTCAAGTCGAGGCTCCTGGCACAGGAGAATTACAGCGACGGAAAGTATTGCCCGGATAAAGTCCAATTTTAGGTTCAACACATGATTTGAATGCTTTCACCCGATGTATCGTTGAATGTTCATTGCTGACTAATAAGTTACGCGTGCCAGTTACAATAGGGTAACACGTTTGCAACCTGAATGGGTCGCACTAATAGCGTGGCCAAGATTTCAGTCGCGTGAGTGCATCCGGACAGTTTTGGCCAAGCAGCGGACTAGATCCGTTTTCGACTAGAGCATTCTCTCCATAGTTCCTAACGCAATCGTCGAGTAGTCAGAATAAAGTTTATACCCGAGGCGTAGACTACGCCAAGATGAGACCGATAGATGAGGCTCGTCGCGCCCGGATCGTGGCCCTGTTGCGTAGGGGGTTCAGCACGAGGCAAATCGCGAAACAGGTTGGCGTTGGGAAAAGTACAGTGCATGATGTTGGGCTCAAGGCGATTTCAGAGACTAGTCCCGAGGACGTACGTCCTACAATGCCCACTGCTGGTCGTCCACGCGTACTAACGAGTAGAATTCGTCGTGGGATCGTCAGGGCGATCACTAGCGGCGAGGCGAAAACCTCGAGGCATGCGGCCCAAATCGTCGAATCCCAGCACGGCATCACGGTGCATCCTAGGACGGTGCGTAATGCGCTCAAATCCAGCGGCCTTATCGCAGTTCAGCAGCCTAAGAAGCCGCGACTCACCAAGAAAAATATCCGCGATAGGCTGGCGTTCGCACGGGCCCACGCGGATTGGACCATAGATGATTGGCGACGGGTCATATGGTCGGATGAGACGAGGATTAGTAGGTTCGGCTCTGACGGCCGCGCGTACGCCTGGGTTCGTGAAGGTACGACTCTCCAACACCACCATATCAAGCAAACCGTCAAACATGGGGGCGGCGGCTTGATGATCTGGGGATGTATGACGTTTGAGGGGGCGGGTTTCATGTGCAAAATCGATGGTCGGATGGACGGGCCGCTGTATCTGAGCATTTTGCAAGACGAGCTGAAAAAAACCATCGACTTTTACAAGCTAACCCCCTCGGCTGTGATCTTCCAGCATGATAACGACCCCAAGCATAAGTCCCGTGTGGTGCAGCAGTGGCTTCAGGAGCAGGAGTATGGGGTCCTGGAGTGGCCGGCAGGAAGTCCTGATCTGAACCCCATTGAGCATCTGTGGGCTCATCTTAAAAGGGAGCTGGGAAAGCATGAGACACCTCCCACTGGTATGGTGGACCTGTGGGAGCGTGTACAAGAGGAGTGGGAGAAGATCCCATCAGAGGTGTGCTCCAATTTGATCGACAGCATGCCCAGGAGGGTGAAAGCAGTGATTAGGGCTAAAGGGCGGTGGACCAGGTACTAGTTTAAGGGTTTTTCAAGTTGCTGCTTCCGCCTGGAAATAATTGTCCACATGCACCGTGTTTGGTTATGTTTGCTGTTTACTGTTAACGATAGTAGTTTCATCAAATGTGTAGCATTTTAATGTCTCCCTAGATTGGCCTGCATATAGTGGGTAATGCCTCCAATTAAGGCTTAATGTTCAAATGCCCTTTAACGGTGGAAATTCAAAAAATTGCCAAACATGTGGACAATTCTTTCCGTCAGTGTATGGCCCTGTTGTCAGCGAACAGGACTGGGGCAGAGCTAGGCCGCTCACCTAAGTCTGTGAGCAAGAAGGTCAGCCAGCGGAGCTCCTATGCTGCCATGGCACCGGCGTAGATCTCAGCCTCACAGCTGGACTGAGCAACAGACGACAAGCGAGTGGATCTCCAAGAGATAGCACCCGAACCAAGGCTAAAACAGTAGCCCTGAGACGACCAGAGAGTCTCAGAGTCGTCTGCCCAAGAAGCGTCTGTGTGCCCAGTGAGGACCACTGGCATGCGTCCTCCAAGCACTAACCCCATGCCCGATGTACTTGCTAGATATCGCAAAACCCTCTTAGCGGCCGACCAGTGCTGTGGTCGGTGTCTGCCAGTGGCCACAAAGCGAGCTAGAATGCTGAGAGGGTATGCGAGATCTGGGCGAGTGCAAGTCATCAGGTATATGAGGCAACCCACCAGCTCTGCGTAGGGGCCGCTGGGCTCTACTGGCTCCTCAGGAACGGGAGCGGAGAGCACATGGTCTACAGATAGAGGTGTGGGCTGTGCAGAGGAGAACTGAAGATCGAACCTCTAAAGGACCTGACGCACCAAGTGTGACTGTGTCAGAGTGATGGTGCGTGCTGCTCTGTCCCTGGAGATCTGCAGGCCAAGATAGCAGCGCAGCTCTCCAAGGTCAGTGCACGTGTGTCTCTTCAGCAGCTCGGCCTTCACGGAGGCCAGTGCGTCCCTGTCAGCAGTAGCGAAGACCAGGTCATCTACGTAGACAAGGATGTAGGACGGAGTCTAGCCGGAACGCACAAACAGTGAGGTGTCACCAGAGGACGGAAAGAACTGCAGGTCTGCTAGCGTGGCACGCAGCGTGTCGTGCCACTCGCGGGGAGCCTGGCACAGGCCGTAGACTGGGCGCCTGAGAAGCCACTGGGTCCCAGGGGGGAAGGTACCAGTGAAGCCCTGTGGTTGGTGCAGGTAGACATGCTCATGTAGGCTGCCCTGAAGAAAGGCAGTAGAGAAGTCGAAGGAGTGAAGCTCGTAGTCGCGCTGTGCTGCTATGTGTAGCAGCACCCGAAGAGTAGTCATCTTCGGGGTCGGGACGAAGGTCTGGAAGAGGTCAACCACCTCGCGTTGGCTGAATGCTCTAGCCACGTAGTACGCCTTGAAGACAGGCGGCTCTCCAAGGGGGCGCTTCACCTTGAAGAGCCACTGACCATCGACTACGTTCACCCCAGGAGGGGGAACTGCGTCGACATAAGTGCCGGTGGACCTCCAAGATGCCATCTCCTGCTCCATGGCAGCTATCCACTGAGAGGCCCAGGGTCCCGAGGTCGCCTCGGCGTAGGTGCGAGGGGTCGGGATGTCGAAAGCGTCTGGGTCACCCTCTGGGACTAGGAGCATGGAGCAGAGATGAGGAGCGGCCTCGAAAAGGAAAGCAAGCTCGTACTTCCTGTCCTCTAGAACGTCACTGCCAAGAGCAGGTGCACCCCTGACGGACGGAGGACGGGCAGGGTCAGAGACCAGAGCGGTAGCGTAGTCAAGGCGGCGGGTAGAGGCGAAGTCAGCGACAGCAGCAACAAGCGCGTCAAGGCGCGAGACAGGAACAGACGGGTCTGTAACAAGAGAGGCAAGAACCCGAGGGACAAGGGGACGAGCGGCACAGAGGTAGTCTAACAGCAGGGGAGGTGCAAGAACAAGCGACGAGGGAGGAGGCGACGGGAGGAGGGGAGGACGAGACGAGTGGGAACAGAGCAACATAGGGTGGGAGCGCAGGAGAGGAGAGACGGGACGAGCACGTGAGGGACGGCGAGACCAAACGTGGGATGGAGGTGTAGGGTCAGGAGACAGCGGAGGGGACACAAAAGGGGAACGAGGAGGAAGACGGGCCGGAGATGAGTCCGGTGGCGGGAACACAGGGCCGTAGACAAGAAGGTGAGAGGGTGGTGGGGGAGACACCGGCGAGTGGTCAGGGGAGGGAAAGCCGAGCAGGCGAAGAGCGGAGACCGGCGGCGACGGCTGGGGTGGCTGCTGCGACGGCTGGTGCTCGACCCTCGGACCGGCAGGGGCACGACGACCGCCGGTAGAATACTCAACGGCAGCACCCCTAGAACCAACACCCCCAGAGCTAGAACTCCTTCCAGCTCCAGCGGCACCCCTAGGGGCCAAGAGCTGCAGCGGCAGCGGCGGCGGCAGCGACTGCGACAGTGGAGGCGGAGACACCGGGGAAGGGGGAAGCGGCAAGGACGGGCTGGGGGGACCACCAGAGTCAGCAGACTCCTCAACGCGGACAACCGACGGGAGGGGAGTGACATGAGAGACACCAGACGGGGCAGGACGAGGGGGGAGGGGAGGAGGGGCTACCAGGGGTGAGGGAGCAAGGAACAGGGGGAGGAAACCGGGAGACCTCGGTGAGG